AGGATTTAGGACAATTTTGGGACATTCTGGGAGTGATTAGGTTCAAATTTGGAGAAATCTAAGAGAAATTCGAAGAAATCTAAGTTTTTTAGGTTTTTCTAGGTTTGGGATGAAATTTTCGATGAAAGATGAATTTTTCAATTGAATTTTCTGGCAGGGTTTAAATTTTTCGATGGGATTTTGATAGATTTTCCAGAAACCGATGGTTTTTTAGTTTTCGATTAAATTTTTCGATGACTTTTCCAAAAACTGATGAAATTCCTAGTTTTCGGTTGAAGTTTTTGGTGGGTGTTTGAAGAATCCTAGAGAGAAGGCAGAGCTTCTCGATTTAGAGAGAAAGAGTGTAGAAGGAATTCTGAAGTAAAGGCGTTAGAATTGGCTTGTATAGCTACCTGAAACGACACCGTTTTGGTAAGCCAAGATCTGCACGTTGACCCAAAGGCCCGCATACCCACCGACGTCCTAACCAAACCCAATCTTAGGTTTTTCTTTTTTTATTTTATTTTGATTTATTTTATTTTATTTTAACCCTTTTTTGTTTCTTTATGGTTTTATTTTAAAAAAAAAAAAAAGAGAGAGGAAGATTATATCTGCCATTTTTTTATTTCTAAAGAAAAAGGGTAAAAGAAAAAAATGATGATGAAGTTAAAAAAAAGAAAAAAAAATTCTAATGACAAAAAATCAATAATTCATTATTAAATTATTTGGTAAATTATAAAAATGATCAATGTTTGGATAATTCGAAATCAAACTGGTATCATCTTTTGAATGTTCGTTTTAGGGCTATTACATCTTTTCCCATGCGCAATCGACTTCCAAACCTAACATTTGTTTTGCAAATCAGATTCAATCAGATGACCAACGCATTTAGACAAAAAAAATTAGTAATGACTCTTTTTAATTCTAAGTCTAAAAGTAGATTCACAGATCTATACGTTATGACAACCTCCATAAGTTTTTTTGGAGAAAGCTTTACACTTCAAATTTTTGGAGAAGCTTCCTGAAAAGTTTTAGTCGGTATATAAATTTTTTTAAATTATCTTAATCTTTTTACATTTTTTACCTCTCCCCTTAATATATATATATATATATATATATATATATATATTAGGGACAACTTTTATAAATAGTATAGATATGTTTTTTTTTTTGTAAAAAAACAAATTCATTGTCCTTGGGTGTGCGTAGAATTCGCGTGGTTCGTGACATGAGCCTCATTTCGTATCATATACAAGTTTTCTCATCTAAAGAGTTAGGGTGTGAGTATTAGTTAAATAAAATTTTATATTTATTAAAATTATTATAATTTTAATACATAATACATTATGTTCTTTAAAAAAAATTAAAAAACAAAATCTTGATTACGTTGACAAATCTTTTAAGATGTTAAAATATTCCAAATGATTTTGTTACTTACGTAGTTTTGAGTTGGGACAAAAATAAACAAATCAAATGAACAAGTCAAATTCAAATATTTATCCAGAGTTCGAGTAGATGACAAGTAATTTCACTCTTTAACATCTAATCCCGAAAGCTCAATGTATGTTGGGAATAAGAGAATCTCTGACAAAGAAACCAACCCACTAAAGGTTGGTTTTGTGATTGTTTTCAGAGAATGGTCCAGACTCACCGCAGACTGCTGCGTTTATGGTAAGATAGATAATTGCCCGTTGCATCTAAAACCCAAGGTGGAAGGGGAGAGAAAAGGTTGGTGTCGTTTTATATCTTCTTGGAAGTTTTTTATTTTAAGTAAGCGACTGAATTAATGAGGAGGATTATGATTTCTAAGGTGGACATCCAAAGCAAATGTATAAGATAATTTAATGAAAATTATTTTGACGTAGAAAGGTGATTTTTTTTTCTTTTTAAATTCTTTTATCTTCTCCGTTCAAATTTTGTATTATTATCTACAAAATAAGTGAATAAAAAAATAGTATTAATAATCATATGAACTATTAATAAATTATTAATCAATTTATGATAGATTCAACTATTAAAAAAAAATAAAGGGTTTTGTTAAAGGATTGTCATAACATATAAATCCGTAGATCTATCGTTAGATATAAATTTTAAAGAGTCACCATTAATCTTTTTTATTAAGGTATGATTGATCATATGATCGAATCTATTCTATTTAAAGAGGAGTCCCACGAGTGACTTAAGTATCTTTAAATAGTAAATTTTTATCCACAAAACCAGATTTCAGATTTGATAGTGCGGTTACGCGTGAGAAATGTTATAACACCCTTATAGAACTCATCCAAAAGATAATACTAGTTTAATTTCAAATTATCCAAGCCTTAACCGTATTTATAATTTATTAAAATATTTAATATTAAAAATTAATCTTAAAATTACTCCAATAGTTTAGTAACAATTTAAGATAAAATTTTCACCTCACAAGTATTTATGGAGACTAGTGTCTCACCCTGAAGAGGCTCCGTCATCAGATTCATTTTAATTTTATTTAAAGAAATAATCAATAAAATCTTTCAATAGTTTGGTAAGATTTACTTTGATGTAAATCTCTCAATAGTTTGGTCATATTTTATTATAAGATTGTTTTTAAAAAAATATATTAAATCTTTCAATAGTTTGGTAAGATCTAAGATGCAAATTCTTTAATAGTTTGGTAAGATAAAATCGAAATATTTTATTAATAATAAATTTTTTGTATAATTAATTTATGAAATTCTTCAATAATTTGGTAGAATTTATAAAAAAATTAAATTCATGAAGAAACCTCTAATAGTTTGATATGATTCATGAATTCATTTTAAAAATATTTTTTATTATTTAAAAAAAGAAATTTATGAAAGTATTTAAAATAAATTATTTAATTTAAAAATAAGTAGAATAATAATAATAATAATAATAATGATAATAAATGAAATTAAAAACATCTAAAAAAGAAGAAAACAAGTAAAATGAAATAAAAAATAAATAAGAAAATCTATAAAAGCGAAATAAATAAAAATGTAAATGGAAATTAAAATGAAAAAAAAAAAATCTATGATTAGGTTAGGTCTTGAGTGCGAATCAACACACGGGTCTGCGGGTCGACGTGTGGATCCTAGGTTTTCAAAACGGCATTGTTTTTAACACAGTATAAAAGCACAAGCCCTTTGTTTTTCTTCAGAACTGCCTCAACCTTCTATTTCTCAGCTTCCTTTCCTCTCTTGCTTCTCTCTCTAAACCCAGACCTAGCCACTAAAAATTGAGTTCGATCATCAGTTTCTAAAAAACTGACCAGAACTTGGTAGAAAACTTTGAACTTCTCTAAAAAATTCATTCGAAAAATTCAAATTTTCAAACAAAAATTCCAGAATTTTCTAAATTTATCATATTTTTTAAGAAATTCCCTTTTTTCATATTTTTTTAACAATTCCAAACAATTTTTCTTTTTACCAAACTTAAAAACTCAACTGTCAACTAATCCTAAAACAAAATCATTTAAATAGCAACTGAACCCAAAATCTTTCCCCTCTCCCTTTTTGTGTGATTTTAGCACCCATTTATAACCTGTTTTAGTAATAATTTTAGGGGTTAAATCGATTTAATCCAGGCCTAAATCTTAAGGTTTGCTTTGCTTGATTTGGGTGATTAATCTTAAACCTTAATCCCAATCAATTGGGTCCCTAACTTTTTGCAAATAGATCCTGATTCCATAAAATTGATTTGATTCTCTTTCCTATTTTATTCCCTCGACTTCTTTGTTAAGACGTAAATGATAGAAAGAAAGAAAAGGAAAAATAAAATTAAAAGTAGTAGTAATAATAATAATAACAATAATAATAGTGATTGGGCTCAAAGTTTGTATCTATCAACAATTGTAGGGTTTAAAGCCTAAAATGCAAGAAACCCAAACACAAATTCCTTTGAGGTCCGATGATAAAAAAAAAAAACCGAATTGATAAATTAATTGTATCTTGGATGAAAACGGTGTTTACAAAGATGTTGAAAGTGATCTCATTTTTTGGTGCAAACACAAAATTTTTGTCAATTTTAAAAAGCTTTTTATTTTTTTACTTTTCTTCTTAAATACCTTTTTGTCTACACAAAAATGAATTTGCCAAAACGGGTTTATTTGCGTAATGCAATCCGGTACTTTTAATTTTAGGCCACTGGACTAAGAATAATTTTTAATTATTTTCAAAATATGATTTTAGCCATAACATTTTGTCCAAATTACATTTCTCCTCCAGAGCGCCTTTCACCGGATTAGAGTTGTTGAATGTCGAGGATGCAAGGGAAAAAATATAAATTAAAATCGTAATAAAGAGTTTTTTACTTATCATCAAAATTGAAAATCAAACTCAGTCTCTTATGTTAATAAAGAAATTCACTTGAGGAATTGGTGTTGTGATTAGGAATTCTGCTGGTGATCAAATAGGGGAAACGCGTTGCTAATGAGCCAAGGATTACAGACCTTTTTAATTGTGGAAGCAATGGCAGCTGTGCGAGCCTTGGAGTTTGCTCTACACTTGGAATTTAAGAAATAGCAGTGGAGGGGGATGCGCTGGGAGTTTTGAAGCAACTACGTACGTAGAGACTCATGAGATAGACCTATGATCTCCCATTGCCACAATTGTAGATGACTGAAATTGCAAACTTCCATCCCTGCAAGATAGTCCACACATGAACATCTGGGAATGAAGCAGCACGCTGTCTAGCTAAGCATGGGTTAAGGGTTCAAGAGAATTTGTATTGGGTAGAGGATTTTCCTGACATTATCCAACCTTTTTATTAGCATATGCAAATTTAAATCTTGAATAAATAAAGGAATCTTTAATTAAAAAAAAAAAATGCCTTAGTGGATTTACAACAAATTTTGTTCACTTCACGAGAATTTTTTTTATATAAAAGAAACCCTAGTCTATTAATAATAATAAAAAATTACAAATATTGATATTTAAATATTAAATTTATTAAATATCAATATTAAAAATAATTGCATAATTCGAATGAATCAAGCTATGGTTCAAGAGAACAACGCTCATATATTCTTTTGCACGTAAAGTTTGTATAAGCAATTATATCAAATATATAGATTTATAGATTCTTTATGTATCTAATATAGTACGATTTGTAAACTCGTAGGACACAGCAACAAGCCAATAATTAAAATATAAAGCTTTTTATTTTAAAATTATTTAAGATAAAAGTTAAAAAAAAGAAGAAGATGGGAATAAGATTACACCAACTTCACTTTAAACTCTCTCTTCTAAGTTTTAAGACCAGCTTTAAGCAGCAGAGGGAGCAGGGATATAGGAAATGGCAGGCTGATCAGGCATTGAAGCCATGATTGATGGCTTTGAAAACGTTGTTTGGTCTGCCTCTGGAACAAGGTTTTCAGCCTTAAAATCCAGAGACTCATCGTTATAAATGTCCCACCATTTGGCCACCAGCATCTTCACGTCCTTTCTCTCCATGTTTTCTTCTTTTCCTGTATACCTCCAGGGTTTTGATCCCTGTTTATTATTTCCCAGACCAAAACAAAAATCTAAATTTAAATGGGTAGGTCATTTATAAATTATAAAATAAAGGGGATGAATTTGAAGGAAAAAAGAATACTTACAGCTGCACAATAGTGGACCACCTTTACTTTATCGAGCTCTACATTCTCTGGGTGGCGCCATAACATGGCAAGAACCAGGTTGTATGCGACAGGGATGGGTTTGTACACTTTTTGGAAAAACATATTCAAGAAATCCTGTCATCGATCGATTTGTAATCAAGAAGAAAACTGTAATTAGACAAATTAATATTAATTAATTTTGTTGATATACCAAAATATATGGTAGCCAGAGCCAATTAATTACAATTAACCCGTCCACTTAGTAGTTCCTTCTTCCTTCCCACTTTCCACCATCTTTAATATTGGTGATGATAATGATATTATACTGAGTACTCTAATCCCGGCATAATCCTAAACCACTAATCCTACAAACTATATATATTCTCTCTGCCTCATAAATTATTTTTTGTTTGTATATTTTTATTTATCAGAAAATTTTCTTTGAAAAATCATTCTTATTTGTCCTTATTAACAATAACTATTCTTTTTTTTTCATTTTTCAAAGTAGGGATAATTTGAAAATAAAAATCTTTATAATCAATAAAAGTCAAATTTCGATTTAAAAATTTTTAAATTTTGTGCAAGTTAAATTATGACACGATATATGGGACTGATGGAACAATAAATTTTATCATATCTAAATCTCATCATCGTTATAATCAATCATCATGCACACGATTAATGAGGATTTTCTTGATTGTTACATAATTATTTTCCATGCATGTATAGAAGTTTAAGAAAGAAAAAAATGAAAGAAAAGAGGGTCTGAATTGAAGGCTTAGCCATCAAATGAAAAGAAAAAAAAAAAAGAAAAAAAGAAAAAATAGATAACTCAGTACCTGCTCCGCAAATGGTGTTGGTGGGGTGATCTGTAGAGCCTCAAGGAGTTTTTCATAGGTCAAATGGCAGGGTTCAAACACGAACATGCCGGCGTTGAAGTACAAAGGAGGAGGAGATCCCATCTCGGCCGGCCATTTCACCCTATCAGGGCACTGCTGGCAGTAACCAATGGAGTATTGGAACGAGTGGCTCCATACCTTTTCACAATAGCAGTCCATTACAGCATAGATGTAGCCATGTGGTGTGTCAAGAAGGTGGTCTATATTCTCGTACACTTGAATATCAGCATCCAAATAAACCATCTTGCTGTACTCCTCGAACTGTAATAATTAACATATAGTATATATATTTACATATATAAGCATCAAATTTTAATCAAAATCATGGATTTCTTTCACAATTCCATTAAGAATTTAAATCTTAGGGTTTTTACATGAATCCGCAAAATAAAAGATTGGTAGCCACACAGACTAAGTAACAAAAAATGATGCTTCAGAAATTAATAATATGATGTTGATGCCTTTGTTTCGACTTTTGATATAAATGCTGTGTAGATCAAGTTAAACAAATCTTAGGTATCGATTTTCGTTTGTACGTAAAAATAGTACTTAAATGCAATAATCTGAAGCATTTATTTGCTGAATCGCTGATGTATAATATATATGTTTGTTTTTTTACTTACGTTCCATATACGAAGCTTGGAGTAATTGATCACGAAGTGGGCCATGGCGAACTGAATCTGGTTCTTTGGTGGATAAATAGGCTCAATCTCCCGAACAATGCAACCTTGAGACCGCAAAATCTCTCGGTGTTCCTCAGGTACATCGGGCAAGACAGCAACTACAAGAGGGTATGCACTCTTGACCTTGCGCAAACCCTTGGCTAATCCGACCACCCCTTTAAAGTAATCACCGTTACCAGCTAAAAATGTTACGTAAGCCTTTTTCAAGTAGCCTCTGTTAACCTTGCCGGAGGATGAAAAGACGTCCACGGGCACTCCCGGAGCCATTTTTCTTTTTTTGATGCGAATTATGTAGGTTAAGTGATTTGTAGCGATCAGAAAATATGGAAAGGGTCAAGAAGATTAGTTTTGAGGAGTGTGGGGAAAGTAAACCAGCAACTCTTGTGATGCCACCCTACTAACCTTTACAACCTGAGTTGTACAGTGGCACCAATAGCCTCCTTAAATAGAAGTAAAAAGTGGGCAAAATTTATGCCCAAATGAACTCCAAATGAAACTCAAATTTGTATTTTGATAGTCCTTTTCAAGGTTTAAAATATATTATTATTTTCTTTGAAAGTGTAGCTACAAAACAATTTAAAGGGAAAAAACGAATGAACATCCTTTATTGTTCAACCTACGATACACCTAGCCTTATCATCAAAGATATACGGATGACAATTTACGGGTCCAATTCATAATCGTTTGAAGATCGAAGCCCATTCTTTTTTTCCATTTAGCGTTCATTTCGTGTTGAAAATAATTGGGATTTTTTATTTGAGTTATTTTGTCCTCAAATCATTTAAGGTTCAAGTCATTTGAGGTTGGCATTCCGTTTATAAGTCATTTCAAATTCAAATTATTAAATTTTAAGTTCGATATTTAGATCAATTAATTGATACAACTATTTTAAAGATATTATATCTAATAAATTTAAAATTCAAATTTTAATATTTAAAATTTATTTCTTTATTTTTATGTTACAATTTCTTTTGTATAAAAAAATTTGTTTATTTTTAAAATAGAATCGATTTAACTTCGGGTTTATCTTCAAGTCACTTGGATTCAAATAATTTCAAGTTTAAATTAATCTAGGTTCATGTCTTTATGAATTTAATTTAAACGAATTTGAATTATTAGTTTTCTTGATCAAATTAGATTGAGTCTGAGTTTGGACTCAAACTAAAATTTTGAATTCAGATAAACTTTATTAGCTTAGTAAACAATAGGAGAAATTGCAAATTTATGGGAACAGATCAAGAAGATTTGACTCAAAATTAAGAAACCTAATTAGTGGTTAAGGTTGAATTAAAAAGCTTTGTCGATCAAGCAAGACAACGAATAATTAGAAATAGACACAACACTAACCTTCAAATTTCTTCTCAACATACAAACTGAAATTTTGCTCAAGCAAAGTACAATTGCAATGAAGTGAAAAAAAATTGTCAGCATTTTAATTTTATTTGTTGTTCGATGTGTTCGGGGTTGCTTTTTTCTTTTCTTTTTTCTTTCTTTTGTAAAATTCATAACTAAAAAATGCTAATGAAGCTTTGGTTTAATAATAAAGAAGAGATTATAAAATTTAAAATCTTACGTTCAAGTCTCATTGTCAATTTCTCTTAAAAATAAAGACTTCAAAAAAATAATTATGATACATATTCTACGTAACATTATAATAAATCTGTTAGGTTGTGTTTGCTAAGTTTGATTTAAAAAAAGATATCTGGATTTCAAATTTAATATATAAAATATTGTCTAATAAATCACATGTAAATATAATTTTCATGATTATTTTCAATTTCATATATACATGTCAATGGATAAAGTATGAATAGGGTAAAGTATTCCCCATCCTAATACTCGAATTTTTATATTATATTTATTCTCATAATCATATCCAATGGGTATTTAAAATTTATCTTCATCTCCATACTCATGAGTATTTAATGGATATGATTAATCATCATACTTATAACTTTAAAAAATAAAAACAAATGTATCTTTTTTAATTAAAATTTTTTTTATCTTGCATATTTATGTAATTTTTTATAAATATATTAATATATATTTTAAATAGAAATATATTAGTTTTAATTAATCTAAAATAATAATTTATATTATTTAATAAAAAATCTATTTAATATACATATATATACATAATATAAGTACAAGTACGAGGCGGGTGCTATATTATCAATCTTAATCTTTGTACCCAGTAAAAAATTTAAAATTATATATATCTCCATCTTTATCTCTATAATGTAATATTTATTTTATCTCTATTCAAATAAAAAATTCAAGTTCCTCATTGAGTACGAATAAAATTAACATCCTTCTATATACATTTGTTGATGCTTATTTTGGTGGTGATTTTGAAATACCAATATTTATTTGTGAATTTGAAATTTATCTTTATATTCTTTTTCAAATATATAGACATATTGAATTTTAATTAATTTATGCATAAGGTGTATATTTTATTTTTATAATTACAATAAATCAAATTCAAATGATCAAATCCACTCTTTCAAATTCATTTTTTTTTCAAATTTAGATTAAGTCAAATTAATGAGCAGAAAGTATAAAAGTTTTGGAATAAAATCTTTGATTTTTAATACTACTCGTTCACACTCATCGACAAGAAAGTTAAAAAAAAAAAAAAAAAAGATTCCTGGTGGTTGACAGATTTGTTGGATTTTGACATATGCAAAAAATGAGTTCAATAAATAATTAAGCTCAACTCTTTTCGGCATAGACAAATGCCGAAACTGTCAAGTCACTAACAAATGTACGACACATTTGTTCATTTCCTATATATACCAAAAACACAAAATTCCTGCTTTCAAGTATTTGCTTTGCTTTGGAAGAACAAAATCTCCCACAAGCTTCATAACCAGCAAATCTATTGAAAAAATGAATGTTCTTGCATCAAAATCTACTGATGGGTAAGATCCAAGGAGGATTTTCATTTTTTTTTTTTTGGTGAATGCCAAGGAATATGTTGTTGCACCAGAATCTACTAATGTGCTTGACTGAATCTCAATGCGTGGCTTTGCCCTAGCTGCCGTAATACTAAACAGAATTTCTTGTTGGTTTGTGTACGCATCCTCATTTGATATATGCATGTGTTTCATGCACCAAAGTTTTATATGGTGAGTAGGTGAGTGAAATAAACATATCATATACCTCGCCAAAAAAATCTAAAAGAGAACAGATTTTATTGAAGATATTATTTGTAACCTTTTCAAGCTCGACGATCGATTCTAACTCTTCGATTGTAAACACCCGTTGCCAACAAATTTAACGAGTACAGTGTACATGGTTAACAGTAAGATATGAAAATAAGTATGTAAATATAATACCTTTCTGCATAGGCAAAGAAAGTTTAAAAAAATTGCAAATATTTTTGTGTCATGCCAAACGCTCCAAGAAAACAATGTAGATTGTAGAATGCTAAACTGTCTGACACCGTGCCAAATGCCCTTGTATGGGTAAGCAGATGAATATGTCGGCTCCACGCCAAGCACTTCAAAAAGAATAAACAGAATGAGTTTATTGTAACGAAAATGTCACCAGACTAAATGGAGAAAAATGTCATACTCGCCAAGTGCTTCAAAAAGAATAAATAAGGTGATTTAATTTTACATCGGATAGAAAATGACAAAACTTCAAGCATATAAGCTTAAACATTTTACACTTTAATATGTTGAATTTGCGGCAAAAAAGTATTGGTCACGTGACACTTACAGGTAAAATTGCAGGGAAGATTACTAGAGCTGTTTAGGTTGCTTCCACAGCAATTAATCCTTCCTTAATTGGTATCGAAGCTTTGAAACACTACTATGCTTCCTTTTCAACGTGAAACCAGTTTTGCCACCCAGATGATCCATTTCTAATCATTTATGAAATCACAATTGATCATGTATGCTTGCTCTTTTGCTGCAACAGTGAAAATTTTCCAGGGATCCACATTCTAGATAGAGCCAACCATACATTTTGGCATTTCCTTTTGGGCTAATGCATAATTTTCCCCCTGAACTATATCTCTCCTAAGAAAAATCGAAATTAGATATTTTAATTTTCAATATGTAAAGCAATTTGCATTATTGACTAACAGTATTAGTTAAATGCTGACATGGTAAATATTAATCAATAAAATTGTGACACATCTTGTATTATTTATTTTAATTTTTTATAAAAATAAAAAACATTTTTTAAATTAAAAATAAAAAATAAAAAACTATTTTTTGTTAAAATTTTATTTAAAAAATATAAAAATATTTTTCTTTCTTAAAATTTTTAGTTTTAAAATTAAAAGAATTAAAAAATTTTAAAAAATTAAAAATTAAAATAATTAAAAATTTTTATATTTTTATTTTCAAATAAAAATTGAAAAATTTTTTTAAAAAATCTTTAAAAAAAATGGGAACCAAGGAAAGAGAGGGAGAAGAAAGGAGGAGAGGAAGGAGAGAAGAGGTCAGCCTAATTGTCCCAAAGGTAAATTGGGCTTAATATGCTGTGGAATGACCATATTTGCCACGAGTCGTCGACCCTTCCCTTTCCCCTTGCCTCCCCCTTCACCTTTTACTCTTTTCCATCTCTTGTCTCCTTTTTTGCTGTCAATCTTATTCAAATTCAATGAATCTTCGTTTTTTTATTCGAATAAAAGTAAATATGGGTATTAAATTTTAGAAATTGGATTAAAGATGGAATGATTTTAATTTTTTTATCGAATATAGATAATATAATACTTATTTTATATCCGTATTTGTATCCTACATATTTATATATATTTAATAAATAAAATTTTATTTAATAATATAAATTTTTATTTTAGAATAATTTGAACCAATAGATTTCTATTTAAAAAGAATATATAATTATAAAAAATTACATAAATGTGAAAGATAAAAATAAAAACATTAAAAATATTTTTATTTTTTAAAAAAAATATGTGTATGAAAATTATTTATATTTATTAAATACCTGCAGAGATAAAAATAAAAATAAATTTAAAATATCTATTAGCTATAAGTATGAAAATTGATATCTATATATTTAATTTTGTAAAAAAAGAGAGAAAGAAATGGTGTCTACGTGGCATCCCATCATTCTCTCATTCTTTACTCATTTTTTTGTTTGTATTTTGTTTTTATTTTTTTTAATTTTATTTTTTTATTAAATAAATTTTATAAAAAAAAGTTAATGAAGATAGAAATAATAAAATAATCAATATCCAATTGATTTTAATTTGTAACGATCTAACATAGGTGCATTTTTTAAAAATTTGAGATCGGGTCAAAGTTTTTTTTTTCAATGGGGTCAAGTTGGATACATATTTAAGGTATTAGTGTTAGGCTAAAAGCTTCAATTTAATTCACGTTAGCGAAAGTATAATCAAACAATAAATCAAATACATAAGAGACAATAATTTAACGTAATTCGATCCAACTGATCTATATCCAGAGATGAGAAATAAAATTTACTAGTTATAGAAAATTATAAATATATATCAAAATATATCAACCACTCAATAATTAATTCTCATAGACCCTCTTAATCTCCTTTAGTCCTATGGAGTATTCTTAACCTAAATAAATACATACCAATGTGTACTCTTTCAACACAATCAAACATATATGCATTCATACATCATACCTATGTGAACTTTTTCAATTTTCTTTAGTTCACTCACAAACATACAAACATACACACCCATAAGACATAAATCTTTAGTACTCTTATGAGATATCTATCCCACAAAACCCTATAAGTCTCTTACATTTTTTTCTCATACTTAACCCTATAAAAACTTTATCTATTTATAATCATACAAACTTGTCTATTAAGAATCTCTTTTCTCTTATAATGCTTATTCTGTAAGTCAAACTTATCTATTAAAAATCTATTTTCTCTTAAAATTTTTTTTATACAAGTTTTCTTCTCTATCAAGTAATATCTAATAAATCTCAAACAAATTTCTTATGAAATTTGAGTCATTATTCTTAACAATTACATCTCATCTCAAATGTCCACAAGGCAGCTCCCTCTTTTTTTTTCTTTTTTCATTTTCTTTATTTTTTAAAGCTTTTGTTTATTTTAAAAATTTTTTATTAGATAATATTTTTAATGAAAAAGTCAATTAAAAGAGAGATAAAAAAAAACTTATATCCAATAGATTTCAATTCATTTCGATCTAATTGGTGGATTTTTTTTTTAATTTGAGATAATTTGGATTTAGTTTTTTTCTTTTTTAAATCGAATGTAGGTAAGAGCAAGAATTTGGATGTTACGCTTTGGTCTTGGTATATATAAAAAATATTTTTTATTGTTTATTTAATTATTTATTAATATATGTATTTTATTAAAATATTATTTAATACTTTAATTTAATAAATTCACATGCCATTTCATTTGTTTTTTTTTATTTTTAAAAATTTTATTTATTAGATAATTTTTCTTTTAAAAAATCAATAGATATAAGAATAACAAAACAATATACATTCAATGGATTTCAATTTATCATGATCCAATCAATATGGTTTTTTTTTTTAATAAGAATTGTTTTATCTCTTTTAACCATTTAGATCAAATCAAGATTAGGTTCAAGGTGCTTTGTCCAACTCTCCTCGGGATATATAAAAAATAATTTAATTAATTATTTAATTTATATTTATATATGAATTATATTAATAAAAATTTTATTTAATATCTTAATTTAATAAAAAAACTATCTTTATATATAATTAAGTTATAATTTATATTAAAAATTAAATATACTTATATCTCTCTATATATTATGTCATCCATTAAAATTTGATACAAAAATTTTATTTCTCTTATTTTTAAAACAATTAAAAAATATAGTCAACGTAAATCTAATTCTACTAATATAAAAAATCGAAAATAAAATATACTCTACTCACCACGTACCTTCACATCCATATATCTTACTTTTTTAATTTGAAAATTAAAAAAATAAAAATGACATGACATGACATTTTTTTGTCACATATCAAGATTTTATTCGTTGTTATGGGTCACGTCAGCTTAATGTTAATAGAGCTATTCTCTAAACAATATTTTTTGGAAAATGAAGTTGGAATTTTTTTTTTTCTGACATAAGTTCAAATATCTTATTGAGAATATTTATTTTTTAATTATCAAATTAACATAAATGCTATAATTCGAATATCAAACCTCTAATTAACCCTTTCCTTTTTCGCTGCAATTATTTTAAATAATGCAAAAATCTCGTGCTCAATGCAATGAATAATATGACTAATTAACCCAGAATAATGTGACTTCTTAACTAGTAGACTTTGTAATAGACTTATTCATGGATTTGGTTGAATTGGATTAGAATCAAACTTTAGATAGGATATTAAAAATTTTAAATTTATTCAAATTTGATCGACTCAAAATTTGGACTTTATTTGTTGTTTAAGCATTAACTTTTTTTAAAAAAGTTGTGCAAGCCAGCTTAGACCCATTTAGCTTTTTAAATAAAAAATAAATAAATTTTATAATAAATATTAACTATATAAAATAACTAATCAACAAAACAAAGTAAAAAAATGATTTTGTTAATTTAATTTGGTGTTGGGTGGAGTTGAATATTAATGTGTACACATATTATTTAATTATATATTTTTTACATAATATAATTATTAATATTATATAAATAATTGTCAAGCTTAGACCTTAAATGTTATGTTTAAAGTTTGAACCCTTTTTTAAATGAATATTCAATGTAAGTCTATACTTATTTAATAAACATCATGTCAAAACCCTTTCAAATCTCAAATGAATTTTTGAATTCGAACAAATAACTTGACTTTTGAATAAAACTACTTTGCTGTATTTTGTATCTACCACACAAAGTTTGCAAAAAAAAAAGAAGAAAAAAACACTGTTTAATGTTGTTCACATAAAGGGATATTTTGTTGCATCCTTGCTCTTATCTTCATGTGGACCTAAACAATGTTCTGTTTTGGTTCTCAGGTTTTCCTGTGGAGGGTCCCAAAGCATAGAAAATGGAGGAAGCAAAAAAGAAAGCCACTATGAATAGGCGCTTGAGGTCAAAGACTTTAACCTTCCTTTAGTTCAACTATGGCTTAGCATTAATTGGCAATTTACGATGAGAACAAAATTTGAGATGTGTGTATGTAATCAGGAAAAAAGCTCAGCCTCTCATCCTGAGTGAATGGTAGGATCTCGATCACGCACTTGGCACTTCATTATTAGAAACTAGACCTCCCAAATAACTTTGAAAGTATAAATTTTGTGTCCTCCAGTACTTATTCAGGATATTCGTGCTCATATTGCTTGCTGCAACAAAAAAAAAGAAAATACTTCCCTGATGTTGAAGTATCTGACTTGTGGTGGTCGCAAACGGAGAGGCACGCTTGCCATTACATGATTTGGCAATTTTGTCTAAAAAATTTGACAGCTGGCCGCAGTGTTGTGAGGCTAAATCTTTTGGCGTCTGCATATAATTAGCACATTCAAGATTTGCCTTGATTCTGCAAATTCAGTGATCTTCTGACTACTTGATCAGATTGTGATCGGGCATTCAGGGGCGTCACCATCTGTTGTGAACACAGCCTGCAGTGAGCTCTTTTCGTATGAATGGGTTAAAAACAGTTTTTGTGATTCTGCTTATACTGAAAACAAGAGGCCTATGACTCTTTTCCGTATGAAGAACTCCATTATTGGTAGATTGCAACCGAAAATGAAACATGGAGGATACGTAGCAAAGAATATCCTTATAGGTAATGAATGAACAAGGTTTGTTTGTGCATTCAAAATTTACAATTTATTTTCTGGTCATAAACTAGGAGGGGTGCAGGTGAAGATAATTTAAAATTAATAAAACAAATCATGGAAAATTTTATGTGGAGGCCCTTGTAAGCTCTGGCTGCCTCTGTTGGCCTATTTACAACCAAAAATGGATTTAAGATGCCAATAACGCCACCATATTGATTCTGAACTTCGTATTTAGTTCGTAACAAAGTGATGGGCCTATGGCTTTACTATGGGCCCTGGAGCCTGGTGCTGACACTTGATATGCAGTTTTGGAGATTATCTTGTGTTACTGTTTGCATTCTGTAGAAGTTGAGGACATAAAATGCCGTTTTCTATGAATTCTAACCGTCTATAAAATGACGCCCTCAGTCCACTCCTTCAATTGCAAAACAAGTTGAACCGCCCCCCCTTTTTTTTTTTGTAAGTTTTTTTACCTGTATAAGGGCAACAACAGCGAGTAAAAGGCAATAATCCCTCCGTTTCCTTGAGTTTTTGAAAAAATACTTTTAACGAAGAATCTGAAAGTTGTTCAACTCAAATAATTATTCTGCAAAACTAATGCAACAGCAGATTAGTAAAATTCTAGCGTTCGCAGATAAAAGAAGAATAAGGCCCAAAAAATGTAATTAAAACAATTGCAAAGATACACAAAATTAGCTTTGATTACAACCATAAGCAGAGCACCCAAAAGCTACAAATCCAACCAACCAGTTTTTAGTTACAATATAACCATAAGGTCCCTAAACTAAAATGCTCATCACCAAAAGAAATTGCATAACAACAATCCAACTGTCTCAGATGAAAAGCGAGGGGAAAAGGAGAGGAAAAAATAAAAAGACTAGATAATATTCACCCCTGCATCCAGAATTTCACATATTGCAGAAATCTTTTTAATGGCTTCAGGCCTGCAAAAACACATATGAACATAAGAAAACAGTTAAAAGGAAACTTTCAACTATTTGAATAGTGTAATTTTCTCCAGAAATGCATATTTCACTTTAAAATCTTGTTGCAACCTATTGTAAGAGCAAAAAATATAAACATAGAATGTACACAATGGCCATCAAACAGTTTGACCATGAAGTTATGTTTATCCTTGACTGACGTATAGATTAAATAAACTTATCCTTAAAGATTCTTGAGCAAGTATCCCTTCTTACCTTGTTTGCTATGTTGTTGGAAAGCCAATCCAGACCCTCATAAAGCCCCTCACCGGAGGTAGCACAGGTGCTCTGGATGTACCTGATAAGACCAGCAAGACACATTAATGGTAATGAATAAGAAACTTGCAAACAAAAGTAGGAAACCACAATGATAAAGCTTACCAGTGACGCTGTCGAAGGGAATGGAGACCAAGCTTATCAGTTATTTCAGCAGCATTCATTGCGTTTGGAAGATCCTGCTTGTTTGCAAATACAAGCAACACTGCATCACGCAGCTCATCCTGAAAACAAGTAATAGTAAACTTGTTAACCATGAAAATCCAGTAAAACTAAACCAACTGCAGAAGATTCAACTCACGCTCCTAAGTTTACCCCCAATATTTTAGTATCTTTCCACTTTCATTGATAATTTTGGTATTCTCATGGGCAATGTAAATGTCAAAAATATTATTTTAACATACAAGATACTCTAAGAACATTAAACTACAATTGATGAATAAATATTAGGAACAAAACCAAAAGCATAGATTATTCAGACCATTTCTAATGAATATAATTATTAGCTTCTAAAAATTGTAGTTTCACACACATCTTTTAACACCACATTCACTCAATAGCACTTTACTTGTGCAATGGTCTTTGCAATTGTAGCTCAAGTAACAGGGAAGAATCATGCCATTTATGCCTGGTATAATTTGAAACAATTGCCAATGGGTCAAGTCACAGAAAACGCATCATTAACAAGTAGGGGCAAGACAGTCAACATCTGACTTTCCCAGACTCAACCATAGAGGAGCCTTGGGGGCACTAGGCTACCCTTTTGATTGGGTATGGCAACTAAATCCAATTGTAAATGAAGGAAGAAACAATATCATTCAAAGCCACTTACACAATACATGCATAAACAATAACCATGAAAACAAAGTCCACTTAAAAGTAACTAGCATACCTCGTTCAACATCCTGTGCAATTCATCCCTAGCCTCAACAACACGGTCTCTGTCATTGCTGTCAACTACGAAGATGAGACCCTGTGTATTCTGGAAGTAATGCCTCCACAAGGGACGAATCTGCATGATTAAGAATGGAAAACTAGGACTTTATTGGTTAGCCATTACTTGGATAGCACAATATGTAAAGGTCCTCTAACAATTGTTTCAGAGATTAAAAAATAATTGGCAATGTTGCTGAAGTAAAAAAGGCAAAACATAACAGTAAAACACTCATACCTTATCCTGACCACCAACATCCCACACAGTGAAACTGATGTTCTTATATTCCACAGTCTCCACGTTAAATCCTGCAAAGAAAAACACATATGAATGGTTAACATCATAAAACATGAGCATCGATCAATATAATCACAAACATGAGCAACCCAATGTACTAAACAAATCACACTATGAAATACTTGCATTATAGTCTTGTGACTAAATTTAACATGTTTCAAAGCTAATTCATCACCTTGGATCTAAAACTCAAAGGTGTAACTTGGTTGCCTTTGGTTTGTACATGTTTCATTTCCAAGGCTTTCAAGTTTAAACATCTCAAATATACAAAAACAATAATGATAGCAATAACAAAATAAGTATCTCATACGAATCGCATGCTCAAGTTGCTAAATGGTCCAACCCCTGAATTGAAATATACCATCCATGATGCAAGTAAAGTTCCACAGACCAAGAAAGTTAAATTCTAAAAAGAAAAGACAACAAAGAGGCACAAAGGATTACATGTTTTGCTAGCTAATCTTCTCCATGAAGTACATGACACAGACATTGCCTAAATATAGTGCAAGCATATCATAACAACAGAATAATTATGATAGTTAAAATACAAAGTTAGAGATAATCACCAAAATCAGATATAAACATAAAAAAAAGGATTTGAATGAGCCCTTACCGATGGTGGGAATAGTGGTGACAATCTCGCCAAGCTTGAGCTTATACAAGATGGTAGTCTTACCGGCTGCATCAAGACCCACCATCAAAATTCGCATCTCCTTCTTGGCAAAAAGCCGGCTGAAAAGCTTCGTGAATGTAAGCCCCATTTCTCTTTCCTACTTGTTGATCCCTAAATATTATCAAAATTCAGAGATATTATTTCCAAACAATTCAAAAAGAATAACTCAAATATACCATTTCTCAATCGGTAATCAGATTCCAATGAATCAGATAGATCTGAAGGTAGAGGTGCGAAAAGTAAATGCCATGACGTCATTTCCATAAACTTCCATTGAGAATTTAAAAAAAAAAATCATACATGCAAGCAAAGGTAAACAACAGATCTAGAATAATTCATCACAGAAATCTTCAGATCAGAAAGGAAATCAACAAGGTTTCTCAAAATTCGACTCGCAAGCCATTAAGTGAACTGATAAACCAACGAAATCAAGCCACGATTGTTTCTTAAGCAACGAATTTTAAACGATAATGAAACGATTTCAATGCCTCGCATCTAAAGCAAAGAGAGAAAACCCTGTAAAGCGCATTGAATCGGTTTCTTTGAATATATCGCTTGCGAGATCGAAAAGCAACATCGAAATAGAGATTTCAATTATTATACCTTTGGAGATAATCGCAGAGGGATCTGCCAGAGAATTTTGATTTTGAACAAAACAGAAAAAAGGTCAGAGAGAATTTTGAGAAACGAGAGCTTGAGACCAACGCTAATTATCGCTAGGGGTGAGAAATGCCAATTGGGATGCTTTATAGTGGAAAAGGGGGCCAAGGAGCGGTCTCCGGGCGAACCAGATACTTTCCCCGATTATTTCACTTAAAATAACCAAATTACCCCCGCATAAAGTTTCACGTGTTATTTCCAATCAGTCATCGCCACGTCACTATGTTTACAATATGCGTGCGATCTCAGTTCTCTAAGACGGACCGTATTATTTTATTAAAATTAATCATAACTAGCACGACGAATCAATTTTTTTAATTTTTTTATTAATTTTTTATTATAAAATTTATCTTAAAAAATTGAAAACAAAAATAAATAATATATAAAAGACAAAAAAGAAAAGAAAGAGAAGAAAAAAAAATAATAGAAAAAAAATTATAAAGGGTGTTTAAAAACTTTTTTATTGAGTTTAAAATATTAATTTTTAAAATTAAGATATTAAATAAAAATTTTATTAATATAATGTATATAAAAAATTAATAATAAAATATACACTTTTATATATATCCAAAATTAGTTGGAACAAAACATTCTAAATACATTTCTCTTTCAATATAAAAAAATCTTTATCTGTTTTAATTTAATTTTAATTTAAAAAAAATTATTATTGGATTGAGATAGATCAAAAATTGTTAGATACAAATTATTTTTGTATCTCTATTAATTGACATATTTTGTTTTAAAATTTATCTAATTAAAAATAAAAATGTGAAAGATAAAAAGTTAATTGAGAGTGTTACTAGACATTTTCATTGGTATCTTTTTTACAAAATTAATTTAATTTAAAAAACATAAAAAGATAAAATAAAAAAAATAAAATAAAAATGGAGCTATTTAGAGAACAACATGACATTCTATTGAGTTTAAAATGCTAATTTATTAAATTAAGATATTAATAAAAAATTTTATTAATAAAAAATAAAAAAAGGAAAAATAAATAACGGAAAAAGAAAGACCATCGAGGAATGCGTATGAACATTTAAATTGAGTTTAAAATATTAATATCTTAAATTAAGCTATAAAATAATAACTTTATTAATATAATATGTAAATAAATATAAAATTAAATAGATAATAAAATATATAATAAAAATAAAAAATAAAAAATATTTTTAATGAATAATTCCAAATGAGCATCACTAAAAATATTTTATAATATTAAAAAATATTTATCAAATATTGAAAAATAAATAAATAAATAAATAAAGCAAATAACTTGACAAGTGACATATTCCAAGTATCAAGCGGGTCACACAAAAAAATTTTAAAATCTTTAAAATATTTATTAAATATATAAAGAATAAAAATATGGCATCCATTTAGTATCAAATGGATCCCATACAAAAAAAAATTTAAAATCTTAAAAATATTTATAAAAAATGGTCAAAAAAGTTAAAAAATATTAGTGTAAGGGAAATTCGACTTTTAAAAAATTTAAATGAACAAAATTATTAAATATAAGAAATATTGAAAAAAAATTTTGAAAAGCAATAAAACAGTTTTGAAAAAATTTAAAAATTTTAAAAAAATTAAAAATAAAAAAATTGATAGGTGTCAAGTGACATAGTACTCGAGTTAAGCTCTGTATATAAACAAAATTTATCTAATGGATGAATTTTTAAAAAATTATAAAAAAAAAAAAGAAACTTGATATAATGAATCTCAACTAAAAAATTAAAATTTTTAAAAATATATTTGTAAACATTTAAAAAAAATTTAAAAAATATAGAAAGAAACTAAAAAGGAAAAAAAAGCAATAAAAAATAAAAAAGCAATTTGTATCTCGTGACACACCAAAGAAGGGAAATTGAGCCATATATTAATAAAATTAAAAGTATAAATATATTTAATCATATTCTATTACATTATATAAAAACTATCCCGAACATTATTTTATTTGCATAGCTCAACAATGTCTTAAAAAGAATTGGATGGTTAAATTTGGGATGAAAGTTGTTTTTAAGTTTGGGAATTTGTTTTTTTTCTCTATTTCTCGATTCTTTTTCTTTTTATGTATTTTAGTGTTTTTCATATTTTCTTTGTTTTATACATTCAAGTAAGTTTATTCTTTTCTTCTCATATTTGTTTTCTTGATTTGTTTTCACTTTTTTTTTTGAATGATTTGTTCTTTGTTGTTGTCTTTTTGTTCTTGTTTTGACATTATTGTTTTTGCATACGTGTTTTATTCAATTAATTGTTTTGTTTCTCATGCATTGTATAAATTGTTCTTTTTATGTAGCCATAGGATTTTTTTGGTATGATTTTGTGTTTGGATTTTTTTATGCATGGTTTTTTTTTTTTTTTTTGCTAAGCTGTGTTTTTTCTCATTTGGGTTAGTAATTGTGAGTTGTGAATTGATGAAAGCTATTAGTTTTATATTTGATTATTTTTTTCATGAATATTATTTTGTGGGTTTTAAACTGATGTTATTGTGTTGTCAATATTGGGTTTACTGGTGTTGACAGTAGTTTTGTTAGTGGTGGTTGAAGTTTTCTTTTATAATCTTTTTTTTTTCTCTTTTGAAATTATTCAAACATTGTGGTGAAAAATGAAATATGAATGATTGATACTAAAATTGCAATTTAACAATTTCATTCATAAGTGAGTCCAGTTTTTTCTTTTTATTGGTAATTTACTTTGGATTTTTTAAGTTGTTGTTAAGTTTCAGGTAAGTTATAGAAATTTTTATTCCTTATTTAATATCTCTTTTCATCATGTATTTTATTGTCAGGTTGTCTCATTTGCAATTGTCTTCCTCTAATGATATACCTCATTTGTAGTTTTTTAGGGCTTTTATTTATGATTATTGATCAATGTTTGTTCATTTCATTTGGGTTATTATTTTCATTTTTTTTGCATGATTTAACCAATTTGTATTGGAATATATTTGGTTTTTTGTATCTTCAGTATCAGTAATTGCTATGTTTGTTGATTATCAAATTTATCTTACTAGGATTTTCATATGACAGGATAGATATATTGCATCGTACAAAAATGAAATGCATCTTGTTAGGATTGTTTTGTTCATGATGTAAGTTTGGTATCTGTTTTTTGTAACTGATGGAGTCTATGTGGTTATTATCTTTATTTTATCAAAAATTTCTTTTATTTCTGTAGTTTTATTCTGATTTTATTGATGGTTTTATGGTTTGTAGAATTTTTTTTATATTGAGTTCATTTGAGGATCTTTGCTGTGAATATTGAGTTGAGATTTAATCATGATGTTGTTATTCTTCGTTTGATTTGATTTTTGTTTTTAAATACATATTAATCTGTTTTTGTCTTTGTTATGATTTTATTAGTTGATGTATAGCATAGTTGTATAAATTGTAATAGAGCTTCTACCTCTAATAAAATGCTTAATTTGCAATTTTGTAGGAGTTTTCCTTACAAACAATTCATTTTTTTTGCATGATTAATTCAACTGTACTAGAATTTATTTGGCTTTTTACATGTAGCAAACTATGCCACCCATCTTATTTAATCAATCTGTGGTGTGTTTTTCATAGAATTTTTCATGATTTATTTTTTTTCTTGATTTGTAGCTTTTTAGTCTATGTTTTAACTTTTGCATTTGAGGTTAGATATTTGTGATGACATTTTATTTCATTTTTTTGAATCATTGGCAGTCTATAGGTAAGTCATTGTTGAATACAAAATAAAATTGTATTCTTCATGTAAGACCTCTGTTTTTCATGGCTTTTCTAATAGACTTTGTTTCTCTAAATGCAATACTTCATTTGTAATTCCTTGGGGCCTATATTTACAAGCAATGATAAGCTTCTAGACATTAGATTTGTATCATCAATTGTATCTTTTTTGTATGATACCATATATCTGTCTTATTTTATGTTTAGGTTTTTGCATAGATCAAATTATGGCATTCATCTTCAGTATGAGTAATTATTTTGTTTGGAATAATTGATGGAATTATTATGATAATTATTTAAGTGTGATATTTGGGTTTGTAATTGTAGTTTTGTTCTCATTTTATTCATGTTTTTGTGGTTTATAGAAATTTGTTAATCTTGAGGTCATTTCAGAATTCTCGTTGTGAATATTGAAGTTGAGGTTTGATAATTCTTTCTTTGATTTTGTTTTGACTTTTTAATCCATGTTATTTTGGCTTTATCTTTGTTTTATTAATCTAATGATGTTGTGTTTATTTTTTGTTTGATTTTATTTATGCTTTTAAGTGATGAGTTGATAGAAAACAGAGTTGTTTAAACTGTTTTGATAGTTAGTATGCTAAATATCAAAGTTGGATTAATGTTGATGTTGTTGTAATTAATGAATAAGTGCTTGGATTTGGTTGTTAAAAAAGGGTCTATTTGTGGTATGTATTTTTCATTGAGTTTTGCAAAATTTGTTTTCTTCTTACTTTGCAAGGTTTTAGGTTAGCTTTTATTGTTTGTTATTTTTGAAAGGTTTTGTATTAAGTTAGATGGTGAATCATAATAGTCTTAGGCAAAATAGACTAGCAAGATTAGCAATGATGCAAGTTTATGAGTCAAATATTTATAAAGTTCCTAATTTTGTTGATTATAGGAGTCAATGGATCATGAATAGGCTTAGAAGGTTAAGTATACTCAGGTATAACAGAATGGACCACGAAGGAGTTTAAACAGTTCTCATATGAGTGATATTATGTTTAGTGAAGTTGATAACATCCTCTCTCAGACTATTAGTGTCGTTGGTGATTAAGTTAATAATAGTGATAATCTATCTGATTTTGCTATGGTTTAGTTTTTATTTTTATCATGCTTCTATGCTTAATTGATATTGTTACTTAGAATGTAAGTCATGTTAGATTGCATTTTGTTGTAGGAAATGATGGCAAGTTAATCACTATTTCATTTGACTATTTAAAAGGTAATACATCTTTCACTTCACTTACTAATAGGCCACTTAGTTATGATCTTTTTACTGGTTGAAGAAACTATAGAGTGAATGTAGGTGAAAATAATTTGTTCCTCTTAACAATAAGTAGGCAGTAGTGATTCAACCATGCCTTTATCCATTGATCTTAATTTGAGTTATTTTAGCATTGTTTTTCATCTAGAT